AGTGAGTGGGCACGGGAGCACAGGGCCCGCACTGGTGTCCCGGGGCTAGCGCCGGTGGGGTCCAGAGCAAGGTGGCAGGAATACAGGGTCCTGGCCAGCAGGGACTCTATGGAGCTGGGCCAGCTCCCTCCTCTCCCTGCTGGTGCAGCCCAGCCCGGCTCCACAGATCCCTGCCAGCCTGCGCCCTGCTCTGGGCCCCACCAGTGCTGGCCCTGGGACATTGGTCCCAAGGTAGTGACCAGGGGGTGGGGCACCTGTCAAGGGGTGGGGCTACTCACATGGCCCTTGACAACTTGCCAAAACTGGGTAAGTGGCCCTCCACCCTAAATAATTACCCGCACCTGATCTAGTTGAAATGTCACAGCAGGAAATTCAGTAGGGGAAAGCATGCTTCAGGAGCAAAGAGGTGGCATCATAGTTGTTATATGATACTGTATTGATGACCTGCTTTGCTTTTGGATAGGAGGAACAGGTGAGGAGGAGGCTGGAAGGAACAGGTTGATTCTTACTGCATGCTCAGGCATATGCATGAGATGTTTTCCCACATTTGTTCTCTCGTTTCTTTTTCTGAGCTGGTGTGACTGGCTTGTGTGTTTTTTCTCCTTTTAACCACCACCTGATCATTATATCAGAAAATTAAAAATTGGGTTCAGTGTTGGCTCTGTCAGTGACTTGCTTTGGTATACTCGGTAAGTTGTTTTGAGCCTCTTTCCCACTCTACAGCGTGTGCGCCAGTTCAGAAAGAGCTTCATATCTTGTTAATGTTTTCATAGCATCTGGAGATCCTAGAATGAACATTTGTATGTAAACAGAAAGTTTTGATTTCTCTCCTCTACCCCCAGTATATACATTTCCCCAATGTTGGCAATTACTGAAAATAATTTACCTACAACCATGGGGTGTGTGTGTGTGCACGCCTATATATATCATGCCCTTTGACCCATAGTCTTGATGTACATAACTGTACTAAGTTAAAAATAAGAAAAACTGTACTATGTAAAAATCTATATAGTAAAATATGCAATCTTATATGTATATGTGTGTGTATGTATATATGTGTATGTTACATAGTACCATTTTTTCCTTTTTTTAACACAGTACAGTTATGTAGATCAAGACTATGGGTCAAAGGGCATGAAAGGATAATGAACGCTACTGTTAAGTTACTTCATCTTTCATTTTTTCCACTGGCTTAGCAAGCAAATCTTGATGAGGCTAGTTCCAGATTGGCAGTGAATGTATTAGATTCTTTGGGAACTGCCAAGAGTACTAGGAGATTTTTAGGTGAGTTGATCAGGCAGTAAAGGATTTCATTTCTTTTTTTCTTTTAAGAAAAAAATACAGCACCTTTTAGCTTGGCGATTTTATTGATTTTTAAGTTTAAATCCCTATCACAAATTCTTTCTGAAAAAGGTGGAAACTCACTTTGTTGAGTTACTGTGTAGGCTTTCACTTTCTACTATCTTCTATTAATCTTTCTCAACATGGCCTTGAAATCTGCTATGGAGAATTACATTTCAGTGTTTAGAAAAAAGGGTGTTTGAGAGAGGCCATAAGAACTTTGTGCTTTCACCTGCTAAGGTGTACTGCCTTTGGTGCATGCCCACAAAATGAGTTGTGAACAAGTTGCTTTATGAAGTGCATGTTACTCTGGACAAGGGGCACTTGGTTTGCAGGCCAGATCCCATCTGCAGAGCCATGTAGTCTAGCCCACAGGCCTCCCTCTGAGTCCAAAAACTTGGAGGGGAAGAGGGCAGCAGCATTAATTACTACTTTCCTGCTACCAAATTTCCAGACCCATACGGAGCCCCATTAGCTGAATAGCATGGCCCGGTGAGATAAATGGGGTGCATAGGGACAGTGCAGGGCCAGACTGAGATGAGCCTGAGTCCACACCACTCATTCATCCCATAGGACCAAAACACTGAGCACTACTGCTCTGGACTGTCCTCGCCAAACATCACAATTAAATGTTGACCTCACCTTGACTTCTATTCCCTGATATGACTAAGAGTACTTTGGCCTCTTTATAAATTGTTGGAGTTTCAGCCCTTATAACCCCTTAGCTCTAATTCCTTAAAAAAAAAGTAGTTTATATTCCAGAACACTGAAGTTTCATCAGAGTAGGAAATAATGTGAGGTACATTTGAAACTTTTATCTGCAGAAAAGTCCCTTGTTTCTGAGTTCAGGATTTTCCAAAAGTAGTACAGATTTATAAATGTCTCGTCTTCTTGCTGGTTCATCCCTCCTTCCTCTCCCCTCTTCCCTCCTCCCACCTTTTTTTTTGAGAAAACAGTGTTTTAAGACACAAAACTATGTAGGAATAGCAGTGATGATTAGATTTTTCTTAACTAAATGCCATTGGTTTGTTTGCTGTCTCACATAATAGGTGAAATAAGGTAGGATTGTAAGTGTTTCTAGGAATATTGCTTGCTTACTGGCAGTAAAAGAAAATATTTTGATAGTTTTTCCTACTATTTTGCTAAAATGGAGGATATAAAATTTATTTCAGAAGTCCCTTAACTAAACCTTGGCTACTTAAGTATCCCTTTTTTCATGTTTGTTGGGCACGTCTACATGTCACCCTATGGCAACATAGCAATGCGCTGCATGGTACACTATAGCAACATAGCAGTCACGTGGATCTACACATGATCACCAGCTACATCGCCGTAGCGACACGCTCCCTCAGTATAGTGTGCCACTATGGCCACATGGTGGTGAAATCTAAGAGTACACCACACGCACAGCACAGCAACTGCCCATGCTGCAATGTGTAGACACACCCACTGTGAACAGCCATCTTAAAAACAGCCTTAAGAGATGGTTTTTGAAGGTGCATAGTCACTGATTTGATGTCCAGTCTCTCTGCCCCCCTGATTTTTCTTTGACATATGAAACTACAGCAT